ATCAGACTATCATGGAGGAAGTCTTCAGTAATCTACATAGGTATTCCCTTAACTTTTGGCCTGAGAACTAAATTGTGCCTGCTTATGATGAAATGTAAGACATCAGGCAGAAAATGACTATCGGGAGCTGTAAAACAAGCAAGTCCCAGAGCTCACATAAAGCTGAGAGACATTTTAGTTCTGACTAGCCAGTAAGCAAGGATCTTGCTGAATATCCAGAGCATTCAGTAGTGACTGTGGAAGAATCAAACCTTAATCGTATGGCTAAAATAGTCCTTAGACTGTAAGATAGAGACCTAAGGTAACAGGCTTAAAAGAAATAAGGTGATCTACGGCTAACTTCATCCTTAAAAACATTTCAACACTCAACACTTTAAAAACATAACAAAATCCACTTAATAAATGTTCACCTTTAATCACAAACTACATATGTAAAGAAGAAGGAAAATGTAACCCATAACCAGAAGTAAATCAGTTAAATAGACCCAGAAATGACCCAATGATAGAATTAGCAGACAAGCATTTAAAACACCAATTCTAAATATTTTCTGGAGTTGAGAGGAAAAGATGAACATAGTAAGGAAAGAAACGGTAAATATAAGAACTAAATAAAATTTCTACAACTTTAAAAATACACTCGATGTATTTTTAGATGTATTTCTAGATGTAGTAGGTTAGAAACTGCAAAAGAAAAGGTCAGTGAATTTTGAAGGCCCAGCAATGAAAATTATACTAAGAAGTGGTGTGATGGCTCACACCTATAATTTTAGCACTCCAGGAGGCAGAGATAGGTGGATTGTCTGAGCTCAGGGGTTTGAGACCAGCCTGAGCAAGTCAAGCCCCTGTCTCTACTGAAATAGAAAAATTAGCTGAGCTTTGTGAAGGTACCTGTAGTCCCAGCCGTTTGGGAAGCTGAAGCAAGAGGATTGCTTGAGGCCAGGAGTTTGAGGTTGCTGTGATCTAGGCTGATGCCATGGCACTCTATCCCAGGCCAGTAGAGTGAAACTCCACCTCAAAACAAAATAAAACAAAAACAAAACAGGTGGATCAGCCCACCCTAGAGATGCAGACTCAGTAGGTCTGCGCTGGGACCTGAAGAAAAAAAAGAAAAAAGAAAGAAAATTATACAAAATGAAGGATAGGGGCAGCGCCTGTGGCTCAGTGGGTAGGGCGCCAGCCCCACATACCGAGGGTGGTGGGTTCAAACCCAGCTCTGGCCAAACTGTAAGAAAAAATAGCCAGGTGTTGTGGCGGGCACCTGTGGTCCCAGCTACTCAGGAGGCTGAGGCAGGAGACTCGCCTAAGCCCAGGAGTTGGAGGTTGCTGTGAGCTGTATGACATCACGGCACTCTACCCAGGGCAATAAAGTGAGACTCTGTTTCTACCACAAAAAAAAAAAAAAAAAAAAAAGAAGGATCGGACAATGTCTGGGGTAAAAATGAATGACATTAGTAACCCATAGGAAGAACTTGTACATATATCATGGATTAATCATAAAAATTGCTGAGCAAAAGAAGCCAGACACAAAATAGGTACTTTGCAGTTCTCACTACATGAAGTTCAGGAGCAAGCTAAACTAGTATCTAATAACAGAAAGCAGATCACTTGCTGTTGGGTGTGGGAGTTGGAAGTTGACTAAAAAAGAACCAAAAGGGGAGTTTGGGGCATAACAGAAATGTCCTATATCTTGTTTGTGGTTGGTTACATGGGTACATTTTTAAAACTTGTGTCAAAATTTAAAACCGGTGCATTTTACTCTATATCTGGAATATAACTGAAGTTGATTTTTAAAGTGAAATACAGTATTTGCACTTTTTCTTATACCAAAAATAATTATATTTTTCAAAATAATTTTAAACATCATAATGTTTTACTGGTAAGCTAAATACAGGTTGAACATCTCTAATCCGAAATCCTCCAAAACCCAAAACTTTGAGTGCTTACATGATGCCACACTATGAAAATTTCACACCTGACTTCATGTGACAAGTTGCAGTCAAAACACAAAAAATTTTCAGATTGTATAAAATTACCTTTAGGCTATGCAGATAAGGTACATATGAGACAAATGAGTTTTGTGTTTAGACTGTGTCCCATCCCCAAGATGCTCATTATGTATAAGCAAATATTCTAAAATCTGAAATACAAAACGTTTCAGGTCCTAAGCATTTCACATAAGGGATACTCAACTGGAAGTGATAGACAACTAGGTCAGCAAAGGTGACTGTTTTGATTTTAAAAGATCTACGCAGAGGTTTTCCTGTTTATAGAGAAGCCCTTGCTTGATTAAAGGTGAGATCAGTGATTGTTTCCTTGATTTATGTACTTAATATGAAATGATAAAGTCTGTGAGATGTAGAATATTCCTCTACTACAAATGGATGCATGGCCATTAGCATGTATGGGCTTTAGACAATTAGGAGTTAGCTTGTTAGACATTTAACCCTGCTTCTTTTTCCTCTGCTAAATTAACAGTAACAGTACTTCACAGGTTATTTAAGTATCAAATAAAATGCTCCTGGTGATATGTTCTGGGTTTCTTTCATAAGAAACTTTGTTTACAACTTTTACAACTCCTCTCTGTAGTTGTTTATTACTCCAAAGATAAATATACCATCATGTTATTTCACTAATTTGGAAGAAGTTTGGGTTATATTTGTCACAGAAGTGACCTACCTAATGGCAGTTATTCACTGTGTTTTACAATAATTCTATTTACAAGTATTTAATTAACCAACAAATATTTAAATTCCAGTTTTAGTTTAGGTGCTTTAAAGAACTAAAATCATAAAAACAGGATACAGGCATAATAAACAAACATTTAATGTATAAAACTTAAAACTGTGGAACATAAATGAAGACAGCAATAGGCTGAAGGAATATTTGTATAAATATATAAACCAGGTTTTATATAGAAGGTAGATAACAAAACTGAGATCCCGAAGATTAATATATGTGAAAGTAGGTTAAGGCTATTCATTGTGATGCAATACAATCATGAACCATGCAGAAAATAATGTTCCACCTTGCCAATAATCAAATGCAAAGAAAATTATAACTAAGGTACTAAATTAACCATTAAATTTACAAAAATTAAAATATTCCAAACCTTACACTAGCTGTCAAGATGTATTCCAAAAAAATAAAATACAGTAGAACCTCCATAGTTGACCATCTCCCTACAGTGATCACCTCCGTAAGTTGACCTAATTTTCATAGATCAGACATGAACCACATGTAATCAGTACATTAGACCTAGTTCCTTATGTTGACCAGTTTGCTACAGTCTCCTTGGTGGTCAATTTATAGGTTCTACTGTAGTTAAATGTAGAAAATAAAAACCATGAAAGCCTAACTAGGATTCAAAATTCGTTAGACATAAAAAGCAAAGATTGATAAATGACAAATTGGCAATATTTGCCATTTGTATCACAAAGGGCTAATGTCCCTATTACTTTTTTCATGCTGTATTTGCCCAAGCTGGTGTCAAATTCATGGCCTCATGCTATCCTCCTGCCTTGGCCTCCCAAAGTCTTAGGACTGCAGGAGTGAGCCACCTAGCATGCCCTCCTTATTACCTATATTTAATAGAACTTAGAAATACTTTGTAAGGAGAAACTATGGATATTTAAACATGAAAGATCTTTAGCTATAAGGTGAAGATTTTTCAAAGTAATACTTCAGAATATGTTAACTACATATGGCTTTTCCAAATTCATTACTTTGTTGTTCTTTTCTTTTATAACTAGTTCCACTAATAAAAGTGAGCGATCTTATACTATCTGATAAACGTATGTCTTTGTTCTAGAAGTAGATTTAAAATTTTAAGTCTACTTAAAGGGAGTAAACTTGAAGGTTTTTGCAAATATCTATGAAACAAGACATTCCAGAACTACATAGTCTCTTATGTAATTAAAATTGAAATTTTATATTTTTGTATAAATTTTTCAAAAAAATGTGACTTTTAAAAAATTAGTTTCTCTTATTAAACCAAATAATGATATTTTCTTCATATAAGATTCCAAGTAAAAGCCAACCAAAAGGATAGTGAAAATAAATTACCTCCCAATAGATCACTTTGGTCTGGTCAACAATTGAACTTTCTTGGGTAATAAAACTATAAAATAAAAACTTATAAAAAGCAATTTTAAAGACTGTTGCTGGAGAGTAATGTTTTAAATTTATATTGAACAAATATTAATAGGAAAAGATATATTACAGAATGCTTTTTTATAAAGGAATATGTTCTATCCTAAATAGGCTTATAATTGTCATTGAGTAAAAACTTAAACTTATTTACCAGTTAATATATAGGACATATAGGAGATAGGGTCTTTTCATTTAGTAGAAGGTCACCATCATTAATTTTACAACTGATGATTTTATAATAGGTCCTTCTGGTTCTTCATGGTCATTATCGAAGTATAAGGCATTGAAGATATGGCCTATACAAAGGCAGAACAAGGATCTTAATTAGAATTCTGACAAGCGTACTCCAATAAAATGATGAGATTATTTGTAATTGATGTCACAATCAATTACCATTTAGTTCATCATGAGCATTCTAATAGGTCTGGCCTTGGTATTGGCCCCAGGATGTTACTGAGTGAGTGGCTGCCCTGCTTATGCTGTTACTGAGACATAAGGGCACATTTTCAGTCAGCATCCTAATGACCTCTTTTGAAGTCTATTAAATTAATGACCCTGTCATACTGTTTTGATCATTTATAACCTCAGTTTGGGGTTTGTATAACAAATTAATGTTTGGGAACCACATGACAAAAAAAGATAGGTCTTTTAAAAAGTCAAAACCTTTGATATTTAGTAAAATTATACTGTGCAAGAAATAAAAGGAAAAATGCAAAAATGAAACCTTAGGATCTGTATGTATATTATAAAAGAGAACTTTTCATTTCCTCCTGCCTCTAAATGACATGCTTTTAAATTATAGTTCCCAAATTATCTTTTCAAAGAGGGCTGCTTTTCTTTTCTGATTCTAGGTGCCAACAGGTCATGTTTGGTTAGAAGGTGACAATCTACAGAATTCTACAGATTCGAGGTATTATGGACCTATTCCATATGGACTAATAAGAGGACGGATCTTCTTAAAGGTACTGTGTTTTGTTTAAAACATCAGCATTATTCTCTGAGCTTAAAAAGTTTATCTCAAAATGAACTTTAAAATTTCAACTGTCAGTTCACTTAACTGTTAAATATTGACTACATTTTATGAAGATGGTGGTCTTAACCATTCTATTCAAAACATCATACCCCGCCACCCTCATCCACAAAGTTCAAATTACCTTAGCTATAGCCTTAGAAACCTTTGATTTGAATAAGTATGTGAAGAACAGCAATCTAGGGTCAAATCACCTGTAGTGCAGGGATACTCTAGGTAAGTACAGAGTCATGGATGTACATGGTTATACTAAATGGGTGATTCTTGAGGAAGATTGTTTTCATTGGCTCTTACTTTTTATCCTAAGCAGTAAGGAGAAAAACACATTGAATACACAGGACAGGATTGGCACCTGTGGCTCAAGTGGCTAAGGCACCAGCCACATACATTTAAAGTGGTGGGTTCGAATCCAGCCCGGGCCCACCAAACAACTACGGCTGCAACCAAAAAATAGCCAGGTGTTGTGGTGGGCACCTGTGGTCCCAGCTACCTGGGAGGCGGAAGCAGGAGACTCGCTTGAGCCCAGGAGTTGGAGGTTGCTGTGAGCTGTGATGCCACGGTGGCACTCTACCCAGGGGATAGCTTGAGGCTCTGTCTCAAAATAAAAAAAAAAGAATACACAGACACTGAAACAGATGCCATATTCAAGTACTTAAAACCTAGCCACTTTTAAGTTGAAGGTGTATAATTTACTCTTATTTGAGGGTAGCAGAAGAAAACAGAGGGTTGTATATTCATACATACATATATATATATATATATATTCACACAACAAACATACATAATTTCTTGAATACTTGAATGTTCTAAACTTTAGAGATTAAATACATATACACATAGAAGTTTATTTTCTAAAGTCTTACTTTGATGCAGATAATTTTATTCTTGACTGGCAAGTAAGGACATTTTAAATATCCTTAAACAAGGGATGAACAAGAAAGGGAATATGATGATATAACATTACTTTCATTAATTGTCTTCAACCACATTTTTATTTTACAGATTTGGCCTCTCAGTGATTTTGGATTTCTACGTGACAGCCCTAATGGACACAGATTTTCTGATGATTAGCAAAAATTTATTCTTTTGAAGATTATTGTCCCCTGTTCAGGTGAATTTATTACTGCCATTAAAACCATGTATTTACCAGTAAACTATTTGCTATTCATTTTTAGTTATATGTTGTTAATAAGCAACACACTCTGCAAGCTATTAGTTCAAAACATAGGGGGTAGAGTTACCTAGACGACTACCTCACTTTTGATTTTTTGGTTTCAGAGATATAATGAATTTACAAATCAGAGTAGTAATTATCAACCCAATCCAACAATCTGCTCAAGAGTTAGAGTAAAAAACTGCTAAGTTACATGCTTAGCCCACTCATTTGAAATAAAAACGTTTCAGTGATCCCATTATAATAGGATCTTTTAAAGTTCATTAAATGAGTTCTGACTTATACTGTATGCAGAATATTGAATACATAGAAAAATAAATCTTTAAGGAATATGCCACTTACAGTTTGCTATAGTCAATAATTACTGTAAAAGTAGATTTCATCGTACTGTATACCACTTATTGATAAGTGTAGGCATTAATACTGACTGTATCTTAACAAAAGTAATATACTGATTTCCTCTGGTATATGGGGCCAGCACCCTACTCCTTTGAGCCAGGGGCACCACCCCTACAATCTTGCATTTTCTTTGCAAATAATCAGGCTGACCAAAAAGAAACCCATTTCCTTGAAAATGCAAAGCCCAGTGGCCTCTCTTCCTCATGTCAAAATACAAAGTTAGATGACTCCAAGTAGTGAATAGTTTTTAGTTACAATGAAGGACTTCTATAATTAGTGAACATGTATCACAAGAAATCAAGTTAACTTCTTCTGCTTCATCCTTGGAAACACTGTATTTTCCACCACATCGGCAACTCAGAGAAAAAGAGTGATTATCTGCAAAGAAAACAAAATAATGCTTCAAACACAAGTAACTACTTCACTAACACAATAAAAAATGCAGAGTTAATCCCACAGAGATTGCAAAATGAAAGAAAGCAGTTCAATATATATTGAAAGGAGAAATGGGAAAAAAATTCTTACATAAGGGTAGGGCTTCTAAAAATTATTTGCCAAAGAATTTTTATCTACAGAGGAGATGGACTGAGCTATAAATCAAAAGTCCAGATTTTGGGGGGAGAGGGGATGATCAGAAGAAACCCATGAAATTTCTTCAGAAGTTTTCTATTAAGATATGTAAATTTCACATTATTTCAACAATGTATTTGTCGAAAACACTGCAGTGACAGAAAAGAAAAACAGCCCTGCTTGTCTCACTGTTAAGGAGCATGATGCTTTTGCCCAGAGTTTATCCTTTAGAGAAAATTCCACTAAATCGATTATTTATCAAGTTCAACATCTGGATACTTTATGTACTGTCAGTCAATTTCAAGAATCCTGACTCATATGTATAGACACAACACTATGGATTTTTTTCTTTTCTCCCAGTGGAGTGTGTCTGTATTCTGGTGTTTACAAAGGACACATGAACCAAAAAGAGATGCCCATAGGAGGCAATATGGTACAAAATTTTGACTCTAAATGATGGAAATTTTAAGTTTATCATCCTCCTAAGAAGTTGTAATTCTTGTGTTCTTCTACTGAAAGATTTCTGATCCACTGTTCATTCCATTTTCCTATCTCTGAGAAGTGACCATCAAAGAAAAAGAACTTACTAATCACATAATCTAGTTTAGTAGCATAATTTTCTATTAGAGATAAAGGAAGTAAGTCACAGAAGAACTCAGGATTTCCTACAAATATCTTCATTCAGTTCTCAAACTTGATTAATATTTTGATCTCCCTGTACACAGTAATAAAAAGAAAAATTCACCTGTTTTGTTTTTGCTTTCTATTAAGTGTAATGTTGGAAAAATTAGTAAAAAAAGCAATCTTGATTGGAAAATATGGAATTCATTCACCTAATCTTGCTTTTTATTCTTCACAATGCCTTCTTTATCCAAAATGAAAAATAATTTAATCTTGAATTAAACATACAAATATCTTCCTTGCCTGAGCTCTATGTACTAGAGCATGTTTTCAAAGTGAATTGATTATTAAATTGTCTAAAAGTGTACATATTCTAAACATTAATTTTCTTAAACTATATCTCCCCCTCTTGTTTTTTTACTACCTCAATGAACACTGAGAAACAATCTGAGGTGACATGTGCTTGGTAAATGACACTGAGGACACCAGGGGCTATTGTGGAGTTTTGTTGTAGACGACTCCCAATGTTAATGCTTGCTAAAAATTCACATCTTGTTAAAATTTCTTCTGTTATTACTTTACCATCACACTTTTAACAAAGTATTTTTACATAAATCATCCTTTTAAATAAACTGAACGAAGACCACCAAAATGACAAAACTACACAAAAGACTACGTGTAAGGAGGTTAGCTTCAGTCCCTCAACACTTCATGCATTCCTTTTAAGCATAATAAATGTGTCATTTCATACTGTCTTTTGATCATGCAGCTGATAATTTGGTTGTGTCTATCATGGAGGGTTTTCATCACTTTTTTTCCTGTTCAGGATATTCACCTTCCATTCTGAAAATGATCCTGAAGGAAGTTTTAAGCAATTTTTTACTTGCCCAGGTGATCATACTTTTCATTTAATTTCATCTGCCAAAGCTAGTCTTTTCAGTTACAAAAAAGTTTTATTCAAAACTTACGTAGTTTTAAAATATTCTTGCAAGAGTAATGGCTTCATGTAGCTGTTGCTCAGTTTTTTGTCTCATGACAGTAAGGATTATTCCCATCTTTACAATGATAAAAACCCTTAATTTAAATTAGCATCTAAAGGGATCCTCTAAAGATTAATTTTCTCTGCTTATTACTGATTGATTGGCTATGATCGGGCCCTTCTGTATCTCCTTTATTATCAAGTTTACTTTTTAAGGAGTAGCAGGGACACTAACACATTTATGATAACTTTTAATGATTTCACATTATGCATTTCCTTTAATATGTTAGCATTTCCACTTGTATGAAAAAGCCCATGTATTTACTGACTAAACAGGTGCTTAAGTCACCAACCTACAACCTTACTTTAAAATAAAATCTTAAGATTATTATAGTTGTTAAAGTTTAACAAAATTTATAAAAACCCATTTTCATGATTTTTATATTATGAGGACTCATTACTAAATGTAGTATTATCAGCCATGCCAACTACAGCAAAAGAATGAATTTGTTTATGAGAAATTAAACACATACACACATATACATACTGATTGAAAGGAGCCAACTATTTTCTAAAAATATTTAGTTTGGAAGTCTCCCTGATAAATGACCTCTTCTAATCACTCCCCTGCACAACCTAGTGTGAAAAGCTCCATCACTAATGTATTTATTGTTTTCACAGCAGTCGCTTTTCTGTTTATTCTGATGAGACTATCACCACCACTGGGAGCCTAGTTATAAAAAACCTCCACTTTGCCAGGGCGGCACCTGTGGCTCAGTGAGCAGAACACCGGCCCCGTATACCAAGGGTGGTCGGTTCAAACCCAGCCCTGGCCAAACTGCAACAAGAAAATAGCTGGGCCATTGTGGTAGGCGCATGTAGTCCCAGCTACTCAGGAGGCTGAGGCAAGAGAATCACCTAAGCCCAGGATTTGGAGGTTGCTGTGAGCTGTGTGATGCCATTGTCACCCTTGGTAAAGGGTGACAAAGTGAAACTCTGTCTCTACAGAAAAAAAAAAAAAAAAACACAAAAAACTCAACTTTTCCAATTATTCACTGCAAATAAGAATCTCCACTCTAGGATTTAGGATTTCATTTGGGTGGTTGGAGGCAGAATGTTGGTCCAACAGGTGAAAAAAATCATTCTCTTCAGTTAATATGGCTTTTGACCCATTTCTTATGAGCACTAAGAATTTGACATTAAAAACCAGAAAAAGTTGCTTTCAGATGGCTGTTCATCTACCCATCCACACTCATTAGTAAAATTTTACAAGCCATAGGGAATCTGTACCCCCGGGTAAACAATAAAGCTGTTTGTTTAAGAATATATAAAAATTCTAAAAAATAGGGAGATTTTCTTCATTTGCCCAGAGAAATTGAGAAGTGCTGTACTCTTGGCTTCCATTTAGAAAAGGGTGTTTTCTCTATTTTATGATATCTAATCAAAAAAACTCAAGGAACTATCAGAAAAATGGGAAAATTAAACTGGATTTAAGTTTAAATTTTTAGGGAAAAAGGCATGACTTCACGATGGAGCAAGGGCAGTGAAAGATTTTTCACTGAAAAGTTCCTAAGAGATAATCAAAAAGCCAGAGTTTAAAGTAAAAATCAAGCCTCCAAGTAGAAGAGTGTAACATAAAAAGCACTGCCCAAAAGTTAATGGTCCCATAAAGAGAAGAAAATTCTAATAGGGATTCATCTCAACTGTTACAAAGAACAAAACAAAAGCAGCCTCTTACTTTATTTACCACACTAGACAGAATTCCAAAAGCCAAAAGTAAAAATTAAACCAAAAAGACTCTAATGACACACCTTATGCACCTAACATCTAATAATAACTGGACAGACATAAGCCATATTAGGGAGATATCAATTAAGCTTAGAATTAAGCAAAAATAATACAGAAATACACATATATATGGAAGGCCAAGCTATTACTCCTTTTTAATATTTCTAAATAATGAGTTTTTTTCTTATAGAAAATACCTAAAAGAAAAAGAAAAGGAAATTCCTATTATTTTTCCTCACTGTAGTCAAGAGAAAAAAAAGTTCCAACCTTCATTCCAAGACATTTCTTCAAGATATATTTGAGCATCTACTGGTCCTATATTTCTCAGATCATCTTCTGTAAAATATAAAACATGACATTTAATTTTGATACTTGAATTGCAATCAGGAAGAATGCTGAGAGGGTAAATCCAGCCTGGTCACTACAATTCTAATTTACCTACCAGTTAAAAACTTAGCTTAATACTTTTTTTTTTTTAATTGAATGGTAACTGTGTACATTAATGCACTTCTGGGGTACAGTGTGGTGTTTTCACAAACAATCCAAAACACTGTCATCAAACTAGTTAACATAGCCTTCATGTAATTTTCTTAGTTAATGTGTTAAAATGTTCATATTCTGCTCATAGAAAGATTCACTTGTACCCTTGTAAGATGAACCACAGAAGTGAACCCTTGAATCCCCCTCCCTCCACCCATTCCCCCCTCCCTCCCCCTTCCTCGTATCCTTAGGTGGTTATTAGGTTATAGCTTTCATATAAAAGGTATAAATTAATTTCACAATAGGGGTGTGTAGCTTAATACTTTTGACAGCAGTGTTAAGGCTACCTTACTCCAGCTAACTAAAACATCTAGAACATACCTCTTCTTATAAATTTGAATAGTTAAATCTGTCCCATTTTCAAAATGTACAAATGCAAAATGGAGTAGTCGTTGATAATTCTTCACAATCAACTAGTAACCTCTATTTTGTGAGAAACAATTTTTAGGTAAAAGTAACTATATCTGAACCTTATATTTTACTAGCTTTTTTAACCTAGTTTTTCTCCATGTCTAAGACAGAGGTTATCTCTTACACGCTTCATGAAGGTTGCTGTTGACAGGCCTGTGCCCCCCGCCCCCATAATCCTTACGTTGATGCCCTAACCCACAATGTGACTCTACTTGGAAAGTAGATTAGAGTTTGATACCAGCCTCAGCAAGATCTAGACCCTATCTCTACTAAAAATAAAAACTAAAACTAGCTGGGTCTAGTTTTAGTAGCAGGTGCCTTTAGTCCCAGCTACTTGGGAGGCTGAGGCAAGAGGATCATTTGAGCCCAGGAATTTGAAGTTGCTGGAACTCCATGACACTCTACCCAGGGCAAGAGTCTCTCTGTCTAAAAAAAAAAAAAAAAAAAAAGTCACAATTGTGGGGTCCTAATCCCATAGAACTGGTGCCCCTATAAAGAGAGCATGAGAAGAGAAAGAGCTCTCCAGAGGAAAGGCGATGTGAGGGCTCAGGAAGGAGGCTGTAAGCCAGAAGAGCTCTCATCATCAGAAACTGAATCAACCAGCACCTGGATCTGGGTTGGACTTTCCAGCCTCCATAGCTATGGGAAATACATTTTGTTGAAGCTACTCCACCTATGGTATTTTGTTATAGCAGTTCAAGAGACTAAGAGAAGGGAGTTCTTTCCAATCAAACAGGATCAGGCTAAAGGTGCTTTAAATATGAAGCTTTACCCAAGTGTAAGGGGCTATCAGTCATTTGACTTTGAACTGCTTATTATAGAATAACAAGTACATGTTACTTAAAGAGAGACTTAATATTTCTTTTTTTTTTTTTTTTGACGGAGCCTCAAGCTATCCCCCTGGGTAGAGTGCCATGGCATCACACTCACAGCAACCTCCAACCTCCAAGCGAGTCTCCTGCCTCAGCCTCCCAAGTAGCTGGGACTACAGGCGCCCACCACAATGCCCGGCCATTTTTTGGTTGCAGCCATCGTTGTTTGGCGGGCCTGGGCTGGGGATTCGAACCCGCCACCTTAGGTGTATGTGGCTGGCACCTTAGCTGCTTGAGCCACAGGCACCAAGCCTGTTTTAATATTTCAACAACCCCACAACACAACTGTGTTGTGTTAATGTTCCACTGATGGAATGTCTGAAGAAGCCTGTAATTCCACCAAAATTTATTAAGAGTGTGGTCCATGTAGTAGAAGCATGGACTCTCTTGCTTAAAACAAGTCTTTGGGACAAAGAGGCAACTAACTATAGATGGTAAGCACTGTTCTTTTCAAAAGCATGTTAGATTTCCTGTATGCTAATATTGTTCTCCTAGAAGTCAATGCTTAAAAAACTACTAAAATCTACTCCCCACGCCAATGAAATTTTCTTTAGCTGTTGCACTAGTCTCTTAATTCACTTGCTGAGAATCCTTCTCTTTGTTCTATACATGAATGCCAGCAATTTAATTATATTTAATAACTGCCTGTTCAAAATTTATTGGTGAGTTACATAATTTTAAAATAGATGAAAAGATTATACAATATTTTGAACTCACCATGGTTTTCTATTAAGTTACATCAAATATTATACCACTTCATATTTACTGGTATTAACAGTCCCTAAAATCCAAAGGTAAAAGACTATGCCAGTCGTCAAAGACAGTTCCTCCATCTCTGCATGCCCACTAAATAGCTTACGCAGAATTTATCAATACGCTAAGTAACTTCTAAACAAAAGGAAATAATTTAATTTTCACATTTGACAAAGTATACTTGACTATATGTTATTCGGTTATTCCTATTTTTCTGTGTAAAACTATCTTCTTTATTTTACATACCCTAATTTCAGAACAAAATGAACAAACAAAAAATCCTCACCAAAATACACAACATTTAATCAAATTATGGAGGGAACAGAGCTTGAGGCCCTCGTTTCCTGCCTTAGACATATGACACGAGAGAAAATAAAACAGTAGACATTAACAGAGGGAGCCAGCTAGGACAGAGCCACTCATGGTGCCATGGGAACCATGGGGACATTACAGAAAGGGCAGAATTATTCCTAATATTTAAAAAATTCTACATAAAGTTCTCATGGATAAGAAAATCATGTTATCATGTTTTATTTTCTTACTCAAAAGGATCAGAGTAGTTTTGTTAGGATGGGGTGATTACACACAGTTTCAGATTTGAGGATATGAATTACCTTGTGGGTAATTAGCATTTAACAGAGTTTGTTTAGGGGAAAAACAGGTGTAATTGACAACCAACTTGTCTATATTCTAGTCTAGAGTATCTTATAGATATCTTAAGTTATTCTGAAATCAATTAAAGCACATAAGACAAGGCAGAGATAACAAGATGAATCAGCTTCTAAAATCTAACCTATCTAGAGCATCTGTAATATCTTAATTGTACAGAAAGATAACCCATTTTTATTTAAAAATAATACACAAGAAGTTGGAAACGTAACTGCCACACAAGTCAGCTTCCTATTGCTCTGCTTCTCTACTGGGAAGCTATTATTCATACACAGTTACTAGTATTTCATGTGGAACCCTTTCTGTTATTCCACCTACTCAAAAAAGTGGCTTTTGTAGTTTTTTTTTTTTTCCCTCTTTATGCAAAGTTATTTCTGGGTTGAAAGATTAGCTTAGACTATATCTCATGGTGAATGGGGAAAGAGAAGACAAAAATGGTTAGTACTTCACCCAAAATCAGAGTTGAAAGGAGGATATTAAGTTATTCTTACATTCTATGGCTGTCTAAACGTATGTATAGTGTGACCTGATTATTCAATACCAGGGGCACATAGTCCAACCTTCTGTGGGGACTCTTGTTTTTAAAATCAGTATCGGACACAAAAGAGAATATATTGTTTGATTGCCAATTAATAAGAAAGGTAATTGGCAAAATTCCCTGTGGTGTTTGGGGGAGGAGAGAATGAGTAGCAATTGGAGGAAGTTACAAGGGGCCTTCTGGTTAAATGGGTATGTGCACTGTGAAAATCCATCAACTATATACTTAGACTCAGGCATTTCTGTGTGCAGACGTTATGCTTCAATGAATGTATTAAAGGCAAACCATCGAGACTGAGTCTACTGACTACATTTTTAAATAAAAATAAGGAAAGATAAGAGAGTAAGGAAAAAATAAGAATATCTGTATTCTTTGAAAGTCAGTAATCTAACAACTTGTGAAAAAGGCTGGGGGTGATTAACTCAGGAAAATTGGATCCCTGGAGAACTGTATAATGAGCAGACAGGGTACATTCAAGTAAAAGGTGAATCTAAATGTGGGCGGTGGGGGGTGACCAAGATCCTTTGTTGAAAGGCAGGTGTCCAGGGATGGGCAACAGCAAATTCCACCCCCCCACAACCTAGCTCCACTACAATTATAAGGAAAGAGCACAAACAAATCAGTGTGTGTTTTTTTCTTTTTAAACAATGATCTCTGCTTGTCCACCATTGTGGTTATAATTAGAAAACTTAATTCTTTCCCAACCTCCAAAGTAACTCACAGGAACCCTATAATTAGCTTTGATAATTGTCTACTAATCAGGCATGGCATTTTCAAAACAGATAAAGTTAGTTTTCTTTTGCAGTAATACATATTATAAATATTTTGCTCATTGTAACGATACATTTTAACAGGTATCTAGAAATGCAAATCCTATCTCAAAGTTCTCCTTATTAACATGACACTTAAAAATGTTGAGAGAACAAACATAAACTAACTTAGTGAATTAAAGAAACAGATTTCAGATTATAAACCTGGAATCTTTTGCGATAGAATGGTAATGAGTATTTTTTTAAAAAAGAGAATCCCACAACCAAAACTCCACAGTCATTTGGAAAGAAAAGCATTACCTGGCATTTGGAGTAGTCCATCTTAAGTCCAATATACTATGCGATTCCTGATTCTTTTGAAGGAAATGGGGTCAACTTTTTCCAAGGTATCTAAGAACATTAAGGTCTGTTCACACCCTGTTCTGTGCTCAAAAGCTTAGCCAAATACAGAAAACAGGAAAAACTTGCAAATTTACTTACATATAAAAATCTGTTCATTATAGCTAACAAGCAGTTCCTGAGGAATATGATAAAATCAAATAATTTAGATGGTTGCTTGAAAAAGAATTTTTCAGCCTTTAGAAGTACAGGCCCTTCTGACCTTGTGTTCTATTGGATTTGTCTGACAACAAGAGGTAAAAGAATTCTGTGGCTCCATTGTCTCAACAGTGGGATCTAAGAAAACACTGGCAAGACTCATCAGCATGGTTTATGAGCCTGCAATTCAAAGAGATTAAAAGGAAAATCTACAGAGATTCTTTCACACTGAAGAATAACATTAAA